TATATATATATATATATATATATATATATATATATATATATATAAGGGTTGATTTAATATTTTACTCTTTATTTTTTGGGTTTATTTTGTTATTCATTTGCTAATTTTGAAAGAGGTTTTGACATCTTTGTTAGTTAGTTATCTGGTCATGGTTCGTTTTATCGGTCCGTATCGATATACCGATCAACTATTGATATAGTCTCTTTTAAGCTATATCGAATCGTATTGAATGCAGCGATACATGATACATGGGAGCATATTGATATGTCGATTGTACAATCGATTTCTCATTTGATCAAGCGATACATTATAGTCTCTTCTTTGTCGGTCGTCAAGCTTTTGCATCTCTCCCGCTCATGCCTCCTCGAGCATAGAACTTCATGTAGGAGTTTTATTAGATCCTTATTGCCGATCATTACCTCCTCGCTCTTGATTTCCTCTTCGTCCACTTTGCTAGTGTTTTCGAGGAGCCCAACTATAGCTCTTGGGAGTGCTCACCCGAGGCGGAGGCACTCATAGTAAGTGAGCATCCATAAGCTAGATTTGGCATTGCTTGAGCTAAATGTTTGATATTAGTCACCATGAGGACCCCTATTCCACGACTAACATGGCCTCCTCAACTACATCTTCGCCAACTCTGACGTTGGCCTCGACCACATCTCCATCGGCTCCAATGCCATTCGAGAGACTCTCTTTGTAGACATTGCGAGCGATGTCGCTCTCCATTCGAGATCTTAAGTGAATTCTCTCAATTGTTGATCCTTGGAGGGATGGCATCTCTCGAACCACTATGCCATGAACTACATCTCGTTGTCAATCAATTGTGAGTCCTCCTAGTAATATCTTCATCGACTTCCCCCTCTAGTCCACAAGTCCCATTCATGCTTTCTTCTTGTACATGTCCTAGGTGTTGACTGTGCAACCTCCTATCTCATGCATATCTTTACCCAAAAGATCTAATTAGGGTTTCGAAACTAGAACCAGAATTAACGATTCCATAACTGAAACTAAAATTGAAACTTTGTAATGGATTTCAAAATTGATTCTGAAATTGCTGGTTAGGTCAAGTCTAAGTGAACGAGCTTCATACTTACTAATTAAGACACATCAATGGGATAACATGGATTCGGGATCCTTAATCCAATAGAGTTTAAAATTTTAATAATTAAGATAATCAATTATTAACTCCATCATGCATATTCTATATCTTAGTAAAAATTATTAAACAAAAAAATCATCTTAATATTTTGACATACCGCCACGGATGATCATTGTGCACCCATAACACCTTCGTCAATAGACCGTTCTTGTTTTTGTTTGCTTCTATATATATTTGGTCAACATGTTTTGCTTGAAAACTATAAGCAGGAATAGTTTAAAAGGTTGTAGAGTGACTGCTCATTAGAATGGATAGAATTATTTCAAAATGATCTAGTTTTCGTGTGTTAGTCATTGCCTATTTTTTGTAGGCTACGATGATGAACAAAATATCAATCATCTCAGCACCCCCTAACCCGCAAGGTGGCACTTGGCTGGATAGGGTTTTGAGATAGTATTAGGTATTAATTGGATTTACAAGTTCATATGTTACCTATGAGAACTTACTAACATGTTCGACATCTAGTGAGTAATTGTTTAGACACTTACGATTATTCATTTGTCTTCTAAAATCCTTATTTACTCTTTCCTCTCTTTTCTTTCTTGCATACCAACTGTTTATTGAATTATTGGTAAAGCTATCCTCTTCGCGAGACATTGAGACTTGTTTATCACTCACTTTCAAACTAATTAATTTGTTCTTTTACAAGTCCTTTGGGATCTAAGCGAGGTTGCAATTAGGCTGATCCTTTGCAGACGAATAATGC